TCTCTTCTCTCACACTATGGGTTGAAACCTGAAATAAACATGCTGCTCATAAAAATTCCCGTATCACATACTACCGGAACCTACTTTGCTTATCGCCAGACTTAAAATATGTCCTCGAGCTCAACGCACCCTGCAAATCTGCAAACGAGAATGATTTTAAAGGATTCGAGAACCATTTGTTTGAATTGGAGGCAGAAACACGAGCAGCCGCTTCCTTGTTTCCACTGCTGCAGCTGTTGCTCTCGGAGCTGCTACTTGTAGAGGGACCAAGTCCCTCTTTTCTTCGGCTGAAATTAGCAGGTCTCTTTGAGACTGTAATGTCTTTGTCGCTTCTTTGAGAGTTTCGGTTAGGCTTTTCCCAGAGATTGAAGGCAAGGAGCTTCTTTCGCTTTCTGCTGTAGGAGTTCTTGGGCTTTGCAAGGCTCTTGGAAGAAGATGAGGGAAGTGCATCGGTCAGGTTGGTGAATGATTTTGATTTGCCATAGTAGAACGTAGATATGCCTCGCCTACACCAAAGAACATCACACAGTCAGTTCAATTCTAGCTTAGTCTTGAGGTTGTATTCGGTTAATTGTACCTGCATGTGCTTTCGGAATTGGCAACTCAGAGTGGCGATGTATTCTGTATTATAAGCAATAAAACCTAGCTTAACTCCAGTACACGATTTTAGCACCTTATGTTAAGTTCAACATGGGAATCAAAAGTTGGTGCTACTTTTAGAGCAATGCTCAAAATGAGTACAATTTCAACTATATTTTAGAGTAGCTAGTATATTATAAATGTTAGAAAGGATTGTTCGACATGGAAAATTGGGAATCATGAGTTGTACTTGGAGCTATGCTCAAAATGAACAAAACTCCAACTACATATTAGAGTAGCTAGTATAGTAGAAATGTTAGAAAAGATGGTATAGTCCCACTATGAAATACAGTATAATTATATTTTATTTACTCTGATATATATAAAATCTGATTATCATCGTAGAATGAAGTCACTTTCAACATAATGTAAAAGATGTTAATAACTAACTAAAATTTTCAAATTATATTTAATTGAAAAACAAGCTATTCATATAATGTATTGCTACTCCAAAATTTGTGCATAAAATTGTGCATGACGTTGGAAATATATTGCTTTTATACCAAATACACCTTCAAATATCTCTTTAACTAATTAACCTATTTGATTTTCAGTCTTTGAAAGTTATTATTCCTTATATCTTATTATAGCAATAACAATTTTTAAAGTAACTAACTAGGAGCATGAGCATTGGCGGAGGATCTACACATGAAAGGGCACAAACATGACAGTACAACAAAAGTAGGGTATAAGACATGGCATCAATAGAAACAGTTGTATAACATACCAAAACACACAAATGATTTAACATTGATTAGGATATGTGAAAAGTAGAAGAAAAAAATAAGACCTTATTGCTTAGCATCTGAGATTTTCAATCTTAAATGACGGAATCGAACAATCAAACCCAAAACAAACCTAATAGAACACCTAACGCACCACACATTTTTGGAAGTACTTAGGCAACCTTATTACAGCACCAATCAATATCAAAAGGTTACTTTTTATGCTTGTTAAGCCAGACAAGTTCATAACATGTATGACACAATCTTCGATCTTTTTTTCTTAAAACTAATAAGACTATGGTATATGTTTATTATTATTATTATTATTCCTTTTTGATCAGCTGTTGTGTATTATAAATGTTAGGCAATTATTGGTATCAGTGTCGAACTCACTCAGTACTTTCCTTGCCTTCTCGCTAATTACATAATACGTCAATCACAAACTAACTCAATTAACTATAGACAAACCCACACATTAGACCATCTATCTTGAATTTACTTTGGAATTCCGGTCAGTATTGCATACACCATATCACCAGTTATATAGGCTACCACGATCGCATAGTTAAAATTAAAAAAAAACACAAACAAATCATCAATAAGATGTTAAAAGGATAAAATGGAAAAAAAAAGTAGAATACAACTTATATGACTCTCCAATAAAGAAGGGTCTCATGTGATGCATGGGAGCATTCTCTTGCTGTTATTCTAGTATAGCCATAGAAGGAATGGCTATCTCAACATCTACATATACACTACAGAATCATCTTTATAGCCATTTCGATATATTGCAATTTAACACATTAATGACACTATAATATGCTGTTCAAATATGACCAAATTGCTTCTTCACTCTTAAGCTCACACCTCTGAAGAGATTCCTGGTTCTTTCTGCACTATTACCTTGTTCCTTTAAAATGATAAGAGCGCTTACTTATACCATTTGAGAGGATGAGAAGATTGTTCCACCCTTCAATTTTTGGAGATATTTCTTCACTTAAAAATCAACTAGTTCTAAATTATGGAGGATGATATGGGCATTTCACTTTATCCCTTTGTCATAATTTTAATAAGAAAATAGTTAAGTGTCTAAAATACTGCAAACCCAAAGGAAACTTTTACGGAACGCCTTCTCTTTGCGTTTAGTATTGTCAGAGTAATTTAAAGCCTCAACTTTCATCACAACTTTTGAGTTTTAAACAGTAGAAACAATTTTAACTAAAATAATACAGAGCAACCAAAGTTCAAATCCCAATTGCTCATACAATTTAAAAAAGTTACGCAGAAACCCAAATTTCGGCCATACGAAGGATGTTTAACTTGCAGGAACGCGTTACACTATAAAATTATAATCTTCAAGTCTCACCAATTGAAAGAACAAAACCTTTGTCAGAATTGTAGGTGATAACCCGGGGTTCCTATCAATTACCAATTGAAAGCACTATATTCTTCGATGACCGCAAGAGGCCCAAAATTAATAAGGCCAACATAAAAAAGACATTAAAGGGTCAGCCATTTTTCACATTGTAGTAAATGCAGTAACACTTAAGGAATCTTCTACCGATCAATGACCATTATGGTGAAAACCAAAATTTTACCTTTTGATCAAATTTATAATTCAAATTAACAGCTCAACAATTATTGTAACTCTAGCTAATTCAGTTAGAATGAGGTGTACTAGAATAAAAATTAATTCTTTTTGAAAGAAACCTCCACGATCAATGTTTCTATAAATCAGAAAATTACTAGATTCATTCAAAAATTGCTTCTTATACCTATGTCCATTTAAAAGAAAACAACATTTTCTCGAAAACAAAAATCCAAATTGAGCCAAGTACTCTCTAGAGATCAAGAAATCGAACCTCATCGGAAGCGAATCCTCGAGGGCGTCCATTGTATCCAGCGGGCCTTTATACGAGCTCTGGACCTCCGCTTCGTCTCCATCGTCCGATCGCCCATCGCAGTCGCTGTTAAGAGCTGCAGGAAGCCACGTCATCGTCTTCCCCCTTGGCAAGCGACGCCGGCGTTTCGTAGACCGGGATGCACGTGATTCGCTCGAGCGCGATCGACATTGGAATCTAGAGAGAGAGACGCACAGAGGAGGGAGAAATGAAGAGCGTTTGTCGTTATTGAGGGGATTAGATTAATTAAAGACAGAGGGAGGGACGAGTTGTTAACTCGCTTAACGTTTTTGTGGACTTGTACAGCTTCACCCATTTGAGAACCCAGCTGTTGATAACGGGACCCACTAAGGGTATTCTAGCGGGGTCTCGTTTGAAGGGGTCGGTTTTTCCGTTGGATGCGGACACTGTGACACGTCTTTAGTACTGGGGCACTTGGGCAGAGCGTTACTTGTACTAGAGCGTTTAATTAATGATTTATGCGAATTAGACCTTGTTAATTTACTTTATCAGTTCAAGTTGGTCCCTTGATAAAAGTTGTATTTCAAAAGTTGATTTTATGCTGCGAGTCTTGTGCAAGTAAATCTTCCAGTTATATAGCACGTAGTTGATTGTAGATTTTAGTAATGTGTTAGCTCATCACAATCCATAAATTGAATCAATTTATGAACCTTTACTTGTAAGTAGCTATATAACTAGCGTTAACGAATCTGGTTAAGTAGTAAATAAAAAATAAAAAATGTTCACATTTTCAGTAGATACTACAATAAATATGTAGAAAGACACGGAGGATGAGTAATCTCAAAACAGAAGGAAAAAAGTTACAACCCAAGTAAAAAAAACTTAGTCACAAAAAGAGATTAAAGTTATTGTTCATATTATTACTCTGCAAAAAATATGAAAATAGATTTTGGTACGATACAAGATTTTGCTCCACTAACTTATTTACTTTGAATTGTTTCAGTGTCATACATTTATAAGTAATTTAAGTGTGAGAATTATGAAGACCAGACATAAATTCTCACCCCTCTTTTTCACATTCCAGTCATAAGTTTATGTTAGGCAAGTTTGCAATTGAGAAAAGATAAAAACCACAATCTCTTTCTTCATAAGAGAAAGAATGAGAAACAAAAGAAAAGTGGTTCATATTATATATCTTGAATGTTGAAATTGCTAATTTGCTAGCTGCTTCCATTCAATTTACAAGTTCATCAGGGACTGTTATAGAAATTTTACCATCAAAACACCTTGGACTTTAAATTTGGGTTTCAAGGTTTTAAATTACCTTTCTAAAGGTGGTGGGGCCCAGTAAAAGAAACATAACGAATGGCTAGTGATCGTCCTTTTCACGTGACAAGCGAAGGGGTCCCCCAAAGATCCGACGCCATGTCCCATGTAGATTTTGATGGTGGAAGACGATAATTTGTTTCTTGGACAGCTCAAATTTGTTATTTTACAGGTTGCAAATATTTTCTTGTCTCCTTAAATAAGATACATGTACACGAATTGTGCGAGAAAATTTTCATGTCTCCTTAAAAAAGATAATTACACATGAATGTACGAGGAACTTCGCTGGGACACTCCGTTCGAGTAAAGATCATAGTAATTATATTTACAATTTTCCCTTTTGTGTTTACTGTGGTAAAAGAGTTTCGGGAAAAGGAGAATAGAAAAAAGGTTTACATCTTTTTCGAAAAGTGTAGCGCGTATAAATCAGATAAAATATTAATATTATCGATACAATCCAAAATATAAAGGTTTCTACCCTACATACACCTCAGATCTATCGTATTCTTAGAATTGCCTTTCCATCTGATGTTTATCCCTAATTTTCTGACAAAATAATATAAAGAAAATGATAAACATGATCTGCCTTCTCACAATGAAGCTTTAATGTATTGTTGACATAGTATACATCGAACTTATTAGATATGATCTAGTTTTATATGATCTGAACTGTAGCAGTTGAATGTGCGTCACGTCACTGATGTGTTAACATCAATATCATTCATGAAAACAACATCATTTCCTTGTTATTAACTTTGGAAATCAATCAACTTCATTCAGGGGTGCAGAAATTTTACATTTTACGGGCATTCATTTTACATATACACATTAATTCAAGGGTTAAGCACCGCAAGCTTAGCGAGAGGTCCAACCGCAAGGGAATTGATATATGTGCAAGGCTCGGTATAAGAAGAGCTCATCACTTCATCCACAAACTCATCATTGATATCAGGACCGCCGACGATGGCTCCGGTGAGCTCGTTGACGTTGGGACCATCCTTGTTGAAGAACTGCACGAAGCTCATGGCACAATTCACCGTCATGTTTGGCGGGAGGACGGGGACCGACGCTCCCCGGTGGTGCGGTTGTGTCGGAGGGTTGAAACCGAACCCAACCATATAGGATCTGCCATTAGGGTTGCTACCAAGAAGATAGTCCATCTGTAGTTAGATACCAGAGATTGATTAGTGGTAGCTATTTCTGAGGATTAAGATCAGACTATAATCTTTCGTCATATGTTGCGGATGTGGTATACATTCATGTCACCCAACTTACAATGTGTTTGGCAACCTAGTAAATGGGCCAAATTTAATTTGGGAAAGAGCTAGCTTAATTTTGGACCAGGTACCCCCGCTTCACAACTAAACCAGTTTAAATCCCTAAAATTAAACTTTAAAAAATTGGGTCATTTCTGGCCTAGTTTATACGAGTCAGAAGACATCTTATAACTGGAGCAGGGTCAGACCAGACCGAATTTTATAAAGTTGCCAAACATACCCTTAGATCGTCAATATATCTCGATTATGGCCGATGGATCAGATATACGCCATGTCAACAATACACCAACTAACATCATGGCATGGAGCAACATATTCAGTCTCACTTACTCTAGTAACATGCACTCCAAGCGTCATAGGAAAATAGTGACTTATATGATTTTCATGTGATATCTCATTCTCAAAGGCACATTATTCTATCTGAAATTTAGGAGGCGTAAATGCTAATAAAATAGTTTGAAAAGTGTACACGTAAACAAATTGAGGTAAAGTTAAAGGGATATAGTGATAACTAACCTGCTGCTTAGCAAACTCCATAAGTCTAGCAGGTTGAATCTCTTGAGCTCCACATCTGACAGTTTGATGGCTTTGGCTCAGAATATCACTATAAATCATGAACAAAAACGCAGTCCCTGTGACATACTGAGAGTTTGCTCCGTCACGAAAATGTATCATTCCACCTACATAACAAGGTTAAATCATAAATAATCCTGTTAATCATAAAAACTTGAAATTCTATAAATCGTTGAATCAATAATGTACCCTTTGTTAGTGTAATTGTTTTAAATGGCGTATCTGGTAGTATTTGGCACACGAAATTATCCGCTTGTTCCTTGAAATTTGTTAGGCCGCCCTGAGCAGTGAGGTTATTCTGTAAAAAAAAATTAAAATAAAGAATAAATGAATTTATGTAGGTAAAATATAGAGAACTGACGTAAAATTTGAGATTTTTACCTCAGAGAGAAGAATCTGAGCACCAGCATATTTGAGATCCCAACTGAATTCAGCCACGCTAGAGCTTATGGCTTCATAAGCTATAAATTTCTGATACATGGTATTTTTTGTTGCAAGGTATAACCATGAAGCAGCCCACAATAGCTCATCCTATATATATAATAATAATAAAAATCATAAGATAAAGTTTGTACGTACATAACCAATGCATAACACATAATATAAATAGAGAGGAGGTGTTACGTTGTAGCCTGAAAATGAACAGTAGAAGGGACATTCTCCATCATAGGATCCTTTGTGTTGCTTGGCAAATTCAAAGAGCTGTTTAAAATAAGAAGCCAAATGACAAATTTAACCAAAAATGATATAAAATAGACAGAAACATTTACTCGCTCATTTATCGTCTTATTATTAAGGGTAAATTTTCACTAGACCCGCAATAAGCCTGGGCCTTTGACACTTTAACCCTCAAAAAGTTTGAATCGTGGTAAAATTGTCATTAAATTTGAGGATTCTAGGAAATCGGAAACTGTTCGATTCTTTTCACTTAACCTCCAATGACTACTTTATGATGTTTAGGAAAAAAATCTTCATCAAATTTATGAAAATAATTTCTTACCAGTTTTGCTTTGTTTAAAAGGCGACAAGAATATCCATAATCAAATTTCCTAAAAACCATAGAAGCTGCAGCCATAGCAGCAGCAGTCTCAGCTGCAATCTCAGTTCCAGGCATATTTTCACTAATCTTATAAAGAGTTCTCGGTGTCTGCATGTTCTCGGGTCGGATCCAGCACGCATGATCCGCATCCGGGTCACCCACCTTAACAATAAATATTTGCAACAAATTATCGTCGATTTTGATCAGATAACTTGAATTTTTTTTAAAGAAGTTCAATTAACAAAATTTTAATTACCTGAACGTATAATCGGTTTTTCTTGACACTGCATTTTAGGAAATAATCGGTTCCCCAACGGATAGCTGAATGAACATTTTGTAGCTCATTTGTAGCTTGTAATTCTTGGTTATAATGAAGAGCAGCCCATGCTAGAGTTGTGACTGTAAAAGCCATGGGCAAGCCATATTTTACATTGTCTCCTGCATCGTAGTATCCTCCCACAAGGTCCACCTATGTCAACATAAAAAAAAAGATATAAAATTCCTAACTTAAAAACATAACAGTTAATTTGTTCGATTGATTTCAAATTCATTTTAGGTACTAATTAAAGGAAATATACCATCGGTCACATTTCACGTTTCGTATGTATTTTGAATCGTAGTCTAGACAATAGTAAAAAAGAATTTTAAGATGGCATCACCAGGTTCAAATATTATCATTAGAAATTCATGCGAAGCGGGTTTTAGCAGAGAAACATATATCATTACACCAAATAACTTCTGTTTTAGTCATAAAAAGGACTCTCGGACATGTTAGATTATAAAATTCTGACTCAAATCATTAACATAACAGATATTTCGAAAGAATAAGAGAACAAAGGTTAGTAACCAACATGACCAAGTTGTCCATCATCAAGGCCAGAGTCTCCTCTCCATGGAATCCTATTATTTTGTGGGAGCTTTCCTGATCTTTGAGCTTCAAGAAACATCAATGACTTAGTGAGAGCATCTTTATAGTCATAATTTCCAGCTACAGCAATGAGAAAGCCATTGGAGATCATCAAGCAAATAACCAAGATGATATCGAAAAATTTAATATATGACTCCATCGGAAGTGGAGAAAAGAGAGAAAATTGTTTGTAATGAAGAGAAAAGATTGAGAAAGGGAGATAATATATATACACATTGAGTTTGGTACTTAATCAGTTTGTTAGTTTTCTTTTTATGTCTATCTTTGCATTGTGCATAGCGGTACCTTGTAACCTTTTCTTTTGAGACCACACAAAATTAAGTTTAAAGCTACAAGATTAGTTGTAATTTGGTGTTTTGTTATCCCTTTCATAATATTTCTAAATAAAAGAGCTTTTAATGGAATGTTAGTTTGACATTAACAAACTACATTAAGGACGCGTTTGGAACGTATTTTTTGGGTGTTTTTTTGGGTGAAAGCCTGACAAAGTGTCAGGCTTTCACCCTAAAACGCCGCCTCTCCTCTTTTAGAGGCGTTTTAGGGTGAAAGCCTGACACTTTGTTAGGCTTTCACCCAAAAAACCCAAAAAAAAATCTGTCCAAACACGCCCTAACTAGTTCTTACTGGCTGCCGTTTCTATATTTAACTATTGGGCCTTGGTCAAGTTTTTGAAATACCTGTCCTATTTATATGTGTGTCTATTAATTACCATACCAAAAAGTAAATATTTATAGAAAAGGGGTAAGCTTCCAAAAACCCCTGATCTTTGAGGTATTTTGCATAAATTTTCCCTAAGCTTTAGAAATTAGAGAATACCCGTGAATTTTCAATATTCAAATAAAACCCCCTGAACTACTGGAAAATGCCATATACAATTTTAATGGTTATAATAATAAATTTGAACTATAAAAAAATCATATTTTATATGATAATTTTGAATGAAGAACATCCACGTGGGAGAAAAAGCAAAACACCCAGATCACATCTTTTACTATTCTTACCCCACTTACACAATAACATTGTTTCTGTGATTTTCCATTAGTTCATTGGGGTAACAACGTTTATTATCACTGAAATTTTCTTGGAGGGTTTTGCATGTACACCCCTCAAATTTTCCATATTTACAAGTTTACCCTCCAAATCTTAGTACTCGATAATTTACCCTCCAAATTTTGGTATTTGCAAAATTACCCTCTAATTTTCTCACATTGAGTTTTCCTATCCCTTTCACATGACGATTTTAGTTTTTAAATGGAAATATTGCAAATTTACTACAAATTATCAGAAAAGTCTGACATTGTCCTATTAAGAAACCAATATTGTTAAGTTGGCAGGGCGAAAAAACCCAACGTGAGAGAATTTAGAGGTAATTTTGTTAATACTAAGATTTAGAGGGTAAACTTACAAACTGGAAGATGTGAGGGGTGTACATGCAAAAATCCTAATTTTCTCTAAATGCTAATAGTTATTATTGGGTAATTGAAGTGACCGACTTTCCCTGAGGCGCAGGGGAACGATGTAGACGAAAACCCTTTCTTGTAATTATCCTAAATTTAACAAAGATCAGTAGCTGGGGTCACTCCACCCTATTTCTTCCTTAAATTGTAGAGAACTAGAGAATTATTCCATAATATCTGAGGTCCATCCGGGCCCGGCCCGGAAATCCGGGCCCGGGCCGGGCAAAACCGGAGCCCGGGCCCGGGTACCCCGGGCCGGGTCCGGGCCCGACCGGGCCGGGTTCCGGACTGGCCCGGATTTTTTCTAATTTTTTTTATCAAATTTTTTAAATTTTATTTAAATTTTAAATTATAAAAAAACAAGAAAAATTAATAAAAACAATAATTTTATTAATCACTTAAAATGACATAAATTACAAATAAAAAATGATAAAAACAAATTCTTTATTAATAATTAATAAATCATTTACAAATTACAAGTACAAATTTATTTTGGAATTCATCGCATCACAATAGATAAGTACATCCCAACTAGGTTGGCACCTACTCACCTATATCACTATCATTTGCAACTATTTTCAAAATAATTCTTTACAAATTTTAAGCTAAGATATAAAAATTACAATTTATTCTTTATATCTATCTGCTAGTCCCAATTCTTTAAATTTATCTTCAATTCCAGCCATCCGATCAATGCCTTGCGTTTGCTTCTCGTACCTCCACCAATCTTGTAAGCACATCACCGCTTGTACAGTATACGGATCTAAGCATGTTCTGTGATCGTCGATCAAACGACCTGCTGTGCTGAAGGCGGATTCCGAAGCTACCGTCGAAACCTGCACTGTTAGTAAGTCACGAACCATGGTGGAAAGTATAGGATATGAAACTGATCCATATACTTTCCACCATTGCAAAATATCTAAAGCATTTCCTTGACATCTAACTAAAGAAGCAGAAAAATATTCATCTATTTCAGAAACCTCCAATGATGACGATCCAAGTCCAGATCCACCAGTTAGCTCAGCTACCATTACATACCTATCAAAACTTACACTTCTATCTTAGGATGAGCTCGAAGAAACCGAAGCTGTAGACTGTTGTGTAGCTACACCATGTCTAGCTGCATACTCATCATATAAGGTTTGAAAATAATTTCTAATAGCTAAATGATGAGTAGTAGCAGTAAGGGTGATTCCATCATCTAAGTCTATAATCTGATTACCATACAATGATTGTAACAAACTTCGAAGGCCAATATCCTTGAAGCATTGATCAATAAGAACCCCCAAACCAAAAATACGAGGAATAAGCCTAAAGTACTTATTAAATTTGCTCTTCATTTAAAAAATCATAGGTCCAAAAGTATCATCCATACGATATTTCCCAAAAAAATTTTGAATATTTAAAATTTGTAAAGCAGCTAAAGCAATGGTTGGATAATAACAGCCAGATAATAACATTGTAGCATCATAAAAAACTTGTAACATTTTATTTAAATTACATATAATTGTCCATTCATTTTCAGTTATTCCATAAGTGCTACCAGAACTAGAACTAGAAGCATAATAGTTTATAAAATCAGTTATAATGTCTTTATATTCTATTGCTACACTTAACATTGCATAGCTGGAATTCCACCTATGGTCAACATCTTTTGGAATTAGTCTAGGCTTTACATTTTTTTTTATATAAAACTGTTTACATCTTTTAAGTCTTTGTTCAGAAGCATTATGCATATAAGCAACTGTTCTAACCTTTTCTATCATGGGTTTAATTTCAGTAAATGCACTTTGAACAATTAAATTTAAAATATGACAGATACACCTAATATGAAAAAGATCCCCATGACATGGCATGATAGAGTTGATCTGATAAAATCAACAGCTACATTGTTATTACTTGCATTATCTAGTGAAAGAGAAAATATTCTTTCTGAAATTTCTAATTTCATAAGTTCTTCAATTATTAAATTTGCAACATTAGATGTGACTCTTCTATTGTAATAAAAGAAACAACTCTTTTAAACATTTGCCAATTTTCATCAATCCAGTGTGCTGTGATACATAAATATCCAGTTTGTGCTCTAGATGTCCAAATATCAGAAGTTAAAGAAAATTTACAGTTTAAATTTTTAAAATAAGAAATTATTTTTTCTTGTTCTTGCTGATAATATTTTAAAATATCACGTTGACAGGTTTGACGAGAAATTTTTTTAAATGCAGGATAAAAACCATCTCTAAACATATCTTCAAATTCATCATCTTCTACTAATTTAAAAGGAAGGTTTTTAAGAATGATAAACCTGATTACGCATTTCCTGGCTCTGGCAGCGTCATAGTTCCAACTACCGAGACTACTAGAAGAGGAGGATTGAGAAAGCATAGATTGTCGGATATCACCTTGAGGAGTCTGGCCTTTGTTGTGTTTATCTAAATGACGTTTGAGGTGGTTGGTGCAGCCCTTATGATGAGCTTGAAAAATCTTGCCGCACAACGCACACTTAGCCTTCTGGGTGAGGATCCTACCGTGTTCATCCTTGGTGACGTCGATCTTCTCGTAAAAATTCCACACATCGGATCTTGGCCTTTTAGGAGCTCTTGGTGCAGATTCGTCGCCACCGGATTCGAGATTAACTTCGGTAGGAGGACTCATAGTAGGAGGACTCAATTCAGGATCGGGAGATATGTTTTGCATCGTTTTGGCCACAACGGTCACTCTGGTGACCGTTGTGACCGGGCCGGGCTCCGGGCCCGGGCTGCCCGACCCGGATTTTTGCCCGACGCCGGCCCTGTTCGGGCCGGGCCGGGCGCCGCTGAGGCTGCCCGGAGCCGGGCCCGGAACCCGGCCAGGCCCGGATTTCCGGACCGGCGGGCTTTTTGGACAGGCCTAATTATCTCCAAACATTTTTTTAATCTGTTAGCATTTTGACCTCTTGATTCAAAAACATTATATTTTTTATCGCTTTATGGCAGAAATCGGATAGCGCAAAGGCAGGGCAAACAAAACGAGAAGGTCAGTTTCCTCGCGAATTTTGATGTGCAATTTCAGGAGTTCAGGATCGGGGGAATTCACCTTGAGCCTAAAACTGTGTGTCGTAGACTTCTAGTTTCTTTTAATTTCTATTTTTTGTGTATTAGCTCTTTATATTTAGGAGGCTAGTTCATGTAACCTTATATAAAGGGTTTGGATTTTATGTTTAGAATTATCTTAGTTATTATATTTTCAGAAAGTTTCATATTTCTAGAATTTTATAGATTTGATGTATCATCTTTTCTGGTACGAGGACGAGTTAATTTTAACTACGCATCCGCTACATCAACATGTAACGTCAATGTTACATGCACGAATAACAAAGAGACAACCTTCTTCTGAATATCATAAATCAAAATTGTGACGCCCCACTTTAGTTCCATATGGACTAGTATGAAGAAATATTAGTAGCTTAAATAGAAGAAAAGTTCAAGGCCTAACAACAACTAGTATTAGTATTTTGGTAGTGAATTTTAGCCAATATCGAGTTGTTTTTTATGGGTCCCACATCTTGCACGCGCCAACGGGCCCGTGGGCTCGGAGCGTGACAGAATGGTATCAGAGCAGTTGTCAGCTGAAAGTGTGGAGCTAAGTGCTATACGGGGCTAAGTGCTACACCGCGTGAATGAGGTGGGAGCCACCTCTAGAGCCCGTAGGAACCACCTCTAGAGTTCACATCGCCTGGCAGTGATAATGGGATGTGCCAATTGTCATGTCGTGAAGACGAGAAAGTCGTCTTTGTAAGGTGGGGTGATTGTAACACCCTCACTTTAGTCCCACGTGGACTAGTATGGAAAAAATGTTAGTGGTTTTAATAGAGAAAAATCAAACGCTCAAAAACAACTAGTGCTAACACTTTGACAGTGAATTTTAAAACCAACATCGAGTTGTTCTTTGTGGATCTCACGGTTTGCATTCAGCAACGGGCCCGTGGGCCAGAGGCGTGACAAAAATGCTATTAAAAAAGTTTCCAAGAACAACAACTGGTGAATCTAAATGCTAACAAAATGTTATATATACAAAACAATCTCTCATGAAGACCCGAGAACGGCGAGCCTCGCCAGCGGCCCAACGGCGAGAGAATTTATATACGTGCAAGGCTCCGTATAGGACGAGCTGGTCCTCTTATCCTCGAAATCGTCGTCGGCGTCGGGCCCACCGACGATGGCTCCGGTGAGCTGGTGGACATTGGGGACGTCCTTGTTGCACCAGCGGACGAAGCTCATGCCGCAGTTGACGTCGGTGCCGTCCGCGAGTACGGGGACCGATGCGCCGCGGTGGTGGGCCTGGGTCGGAGAGTCCTTGCCGAAGCCCACCATGTAGGACCTGCCCTTTGGATTGTTACCTAAGAGGTAGTCCATCTGTTAAAAAAAACAAGAAAATTTATTAATTTCGTGACAATTCAAAAAATTAAATGGAAAGTGGATAAAAAAAAGGAAAGAAAAGAATGTCACGTTGGTTTTCTTGAACCCTTTTATTTTCTCAAAATTTTGAGAAATTAAGCAAATGAAAAATGATTTTTGAGGACAGATAAAATTAGTTTTATTTATTCTCACATTTTTTTTCTCCCCAATTTTAGCTGTGCACCTTCAATAACAATCACACAGTGTAATAAAAAAATAGATGTCATACAGGGGAGGATCCAAGATTCAGTTTTGAGGGGCAGCGTACAAAAAGTAGACAAAAAATTTTCTTAATGCAATTTTATTCACAAGAGATACATCACAACCCAAACAAAACGAGTAGAATAGTCAACATCAATATCTCCAAAATATTTCAAAAGAGAAAGACAAAAATTATGTAGAAAATATTCAAATAAGCATCATCTAATTTTTTTATAACTAAAACTTCTCTAACTAAAAGGAATTTGATCGTTCCTTAAAATTTTTAAGGGAGGAGGTTTTACAGAAACCACCGTATCTTTTTTTTTTCCCTAATTTTTTTGGGGGGCAACGTGATCCCACCTGGGCTATATATAGATCCTCCCCTGATGTCATATCAATTGTCACCTCTCTTTCTAATTTTTCAATCTAACTTTCTCTCATCTAAGTAATATTTGCAGAAGATATTTTCTTTTTGTTATCTGCTTTCTGTTTATTTTTCAGTTTCTAAACGTCCTCCAAAGATAAAAGAATGAACATACTAAGTATCATTAATTAAAAGAAAACCATTGAAACTCTAATGATAGATATTGATTAAGACTCTCGCATCACCAAATTTTAGCGATGCTTCATATTTATTTCTCATTTATTATATATGGGTGTCCATACATTTAACATGTAATAAGATTATAAAAGGGGAGGAGAGGAGTCAAGACCTGTTGCTTTGCAAACTGCACTAATCTAGCTGGTTTGATCTGTTGATGTCCGCAAGTCACTGTTTGATGACTTTTTGACAAAATATCACCATAAATTATGAACAAAAATGCGGTTCCTGTTACATATTGTGTATTGGCTCCATTTCTTAGATGAACCATTCCACCTGAACCAAATTTAATCACAAATCAATAGGTCAATCTATAACTAGCTAGTTAAAGTGGCAACGGCCAAGATGAAGCCACGTAGGACTTTAAATATTATCTTCAAACCCCACTCTTGTAAAAACCCGTATTGCGATGATGCAAATCCTATGCGGCTTCATCTTAGCCGTTGGAATCAAAATAGAAGGGTTTAATTGAGATAATCGGATATATACTCTCCGACTACCGCCTAATTAGAGAGGATCCGAACCCTTTTTGAATACGCGCGGGGCTCTGAAAAGGACCAAATTTTTGTATTGATGATGAAGCATCAATAACTTACCCGGTGTGATTCTAATTGTTCTGTAAGGAGTGTCTGGTAGTATTTGGCAAACAAAATTATCAGCTTGTGACTTGAATTCAAGAAGGCCACCCTGAGCTGTGAGGTTTGTCTATAAAAATAAAGCACCATAAACATGAGAAATATGGTATTAAGAGAAAATGTAAACAAAAGTTTAAAAAAATACTACATCTAGATATTCTCACATTGGAGAGAAGAACTTGGGCACCAGAAAATTTGAGATCCCAACTGAACTCAGCCACACTAGAGCTCATGGCTTCATAACTGATGAATTTTTTATAGGCTACCCTTCTTGTGGCTATATACAACCATGAAGCAGCCCACAATAGCTCATCCTACAAAATCGAAAATGTGCACCATTGTAAAAAAAAAAATAATAATAATATCAAAATCTAGGGAAATAATTTTAAAACGCTAGATGTGTGTGAATGCCTAAGTTTAAAAAAACCATTAAATAGAGGGTAATTACATTGTAGCCTGAGAAAGAGCAGTAGAAGGGACACTCTCCATCGTACGTTCCTTTATAATTCTTCGCAAAATCAAAGAGCTATTCAAAACAAGCAAAAGAAAAACAAATTAATATCAGTTACATTATTATTAATTAATACTAAAACAAGTAGACTTAAATAAATTTCCAGGCAAATTTTTTTTTTTTTACCAATTTTGCTTTGTTAAGCAGCCGTCGGGAATAAGGATGGTCGATCGTTCTAAAGACCATCGCCGACGCTGCCATGGCCGCCGCCGTCTCGGCCGCAATCTCGGTCCCGGGCATGCTCTTGCTGATCTTGTAAAGGGTTCTCGGAGTCTTCATGTTCTCGGGTCGGATCCAACATTGGTGATCCGCTACAGGGTCTCCTACCTTACTTAATACATTACACCAAAATATTTATTTCTTGGTAACTTATTAATGAAACATAATGAGGTTTTTCAATTTTTAAAAAAAGGGGTCGTTATTTGCGTACTCAGCTTTGTATTGATGAGAAAGTAAATGCTTGCGATCTATGTTCTAGTTTATCTCACGTACATCAACCCAACCCATAATTGCATTGGCTCTCTGTACATTAATATTTATGGAGCAAAATATTTTCTCTTAAATAATAAAAAACATAATGATGAACATTTGTGATTTCAAGCCTCTCGAATATTCATAATTTGAAATGACTTAAACTCTCACGGAATCACTTGGTGATCAAAGTTGGACATTTGCTATGAGCAACCAAAGCTACGAGATTTTCTAGTGAGTAATATCTAATGGAAAATAACGATAAAGTCCAGATGGTGTATGTGCTAATAAAATAGAACACGGATAACTAAAATAGCTTGCTTCTGCCAAAAAAAAAAATTGGAATTTATTACCTGAACATATAATTGGTTTTTCCTAATGCTGCATTTGAGGAAATAATCAGTCCCCCAACGGATCGCAGATAAAATATTTTGCCATTCTCCAGTTGATTTGAGCTCTTTGCTGAAATGGAGAGCAGCCCACGCAAGAGTTGTGATGGTAAAAGCCATAGGCAATCCATATTTTACATTGTCTCCTGCGTCATAATATCCTCCAACAAGGTCCACCTACATAGTTCATTTCAAAATTAATTACAGTTTTGTAAAATATAAATACTAGTTCATATTAATTAAACACAAGAATAGAGATGAGAAGATATTCAATAAATAGCTACATTATTCTTAGAATGAATATAGTAATTTCTATATTTAAAATCCGAACGAGATAATAAAGTAAGGTTTTAATGAAAAGGGGAAACTCAAAAATAAATAATTTAGCAAATAATTCTAGTGAAGAAAATTTAAACCAAGAAATAATTGAACTATATTAAATAATCCTCCATGATATGTATTTTCATAAACGTTCCATTATGTTCTAAACCTGCCTCCTCTTATTTTCTTTCCTGCTTCAAATTTTTATCAAAAAAAAAAAAAATCATAATGAGCTATCCTATATGAAATTTCTATGTTTAAACTCAAGCTAACAAGTAAATCATAAGTTTTTGATACCTTAAAAAAACCAAACCAAACATGAAAATTTCTACACGAGCTTAAGAAAATTTTCAAGAAGAGGAACGAACATGGCCAATCTGTCCATCGTCAAGGGCGGAGTCTCCTCTCCATGAAATCCTATTATTTTTGGGAAGCTTTCCTGATCTCTGGGCTTCAAGAAACATCAAGGACTTAGTGAGGGCATCCTTGTAATTAAACCCAGCATTAGCGTATAGAAATCCATGATCAAATATCAATAATGCTACCAATATGATAGCTATGGCTTTATTTGAATGTAGATGCATGAGGGGGGAAGAAGGAAGAAGAGAGAATGGAAAAAGAGAGGGAGGGAGGGGGAAATGTTTGGTTTAATGATAAAAAAAAGGGAGGGAATTGTGTTGTGTTATTAATGAGAAGAGCTATGAGTTATGATAAGTTTTAATTATTTGTGTAAATAAATATTTTGTGGGTAGATATTGCATGCCTTTTGTGTGCAACACATGTTACGTTTTTTTGAGACCTCTCGCTAGCGAGGTTTTAGTAGAGGAATGGAGGGTTTGAAGCTCTCTCCTCTTTATTAAGGGATAATATTAGGATGAAGTAATGTGCTTATTTTGGTAAATTTCTTGATATAGGACATGGGCTGTTTCCAAATGTAAGGCCTATCTAACTGGAGGGCCAGTTACCCACATGGGCTGAAAATTGGGCCCACAGCAACTAGGAACCGCAACTTTTGGCTCTTGACTTGGGGGTTGTTTGGTTGTTGTTAGTAAAGTTGTGTATTTATGACACAACTTGGAAAGTTGTTGTCCACCTCATCAATTTTATTTTTATATTTTTCTTTGCTTGTTTTTGATTCGATTGGAATCATAAATTGCTTGTTTGGTTTGTAAATGTAACTTTAATTGTTTGTTTGGAAAGTGTAAAAAGTGGTCCCAATTCAAATGATCATATTGGTTAGAATTATTTTTTATTATTTTTTCCTGACTTCAATGTCAGCTTTCTCCTAAAATCATGTCTTTTTTTTATGAAATCACTTTACAAGCCACAATCACTTTACACTATTTTCACAACTACAAACAAACAATTGAAAGCGATGAAAGCTGATATTGGGACCCACTTTTTTATACTTTCCAAACTTTTACATGGTAAAAACATACAACCAAACAGCCCCTAGTTAGAAGGCTAGTTAGCAGTTAAATACCTTTTAGTTTCATATGTGCAGCATTTACGAACCCTAATGTTCTCAAAAAGAGTTGACACCACAAACCCCGGCCCAAACTTTGGGGGATTCCCCCCTCCTCGAATATTGAACTTTTCCGAATGTAATTTGCAGATAAGCAGAGAAACAACCTCAATTTGCGACAGGAGGTATGTTGCTTGTTTTTTTCGACATTTTAGTTATTTGCCAAATATTTGTAAGGGCCGATGAGAAAAGTTTAAAGTTCAGTATATCTTGTGAGATACACCAAAGTCTACGAAAGTCGTTTGGGATAGATGTTGGATCTGAGTGTGAAACTCAAACTCACTTGCAGGCGAGCTTCTCCAGGCGAGGATGAAGCTCAAGCGAGCTCGTGGCGAGCGAGCTCCACTTCAGGCGAGGTTGACGAGTGTCAGGCGAGGTCGACGAAATCATCAGGCGAACTCGAGGTTGAGATCCAGGCGAGGTGTCGATGAGCTGCAGGCGAGGTCATCGAGTTCGAGCAGGTGAGCTCGAGAACTTACACAGGCGAGCGAGTGGGATGCAGGCGAGGTTGATCCAAGACAGGCAAGCTCGGGGCAAGTTGGCGAGCTCCTTGAGTGCGGGCTCCTTGCAGGAGAGGTGGCCCGCAGGCGAGCTCGAGCGCTCGCATGGCTGGCGACAGCCTGTCGCCAGCCTGGCGTTAGGGTTCACCTATAAAAGGAACCCTGTGTTGGATTTAATCTAATAAATCTATTTGTGGGCACATATGATTAATCAATGTGTATTGCTATCTTTCAGGATAACCCACTAAAGTGATCAATTAAGTTGGGTTAATTTGGTATTTAAATAAGTCATGGGGTTATATGTGCAGATACCAGGTTGTAATTGTAATTTATTGAGGGGCTAAATTACAAAAGTACAACATCTATAAATAAGGGGTTATTGTCCCTAACCTAGGGTTACATTCTCTAATTCTCTACACCCCCATCTAGCTAGAGAAATTCGGATTTAGAGAAACCCTAAGGTTAGAAGATCCAAAATCCATCTCAAGGTTCATCCATGGATTCAGGTATAAGCTTCCGCTCTTTTGATTATTTGTTAATCTCTTTGAATTAATCATGGCTATATGGTTTTAGATCTCAAGTTTTATGATGTAGATCTAACAAGTGGTATCAGAGCCACCTTGATTAATTCTTAGGGATTTAAGTTTTATTGGGTTTTTGATCTTAAATCTCTGGTTAAAGATTCAATTTTTGGGTTCGGATGAACAGTAACGAAAATCTTCGGATGAACAGTAAAGTTTTTTTCGGATGAACAGTAAAGTTTTTTCGGATGAACGGTAACTGAAAGCGCCGGTGAACAGTAACGAAAATTGCCGGTGAACAGTAACTTTTTGGATTTTTTTGGATTTTTCTTTGATTTTTTCTTCAAATTTTTCCAATTCTGGATCTGTTTTGAAAATAAAAATCAAAGTTTTTTGGGTTTGACGGCGGCGGTTTCAGATTGAAACCCTAAGGGTTCATGGCGAAAATTAAGGAGGTGGTTATCTCAAACGAACTTCGCGTTCGTTCAATTTTAACCGAGCTTCGCGCTCAACGAACCTCGCGTTCGTTCAAAGGTGAACCTCGCGTTCAACTCAGGTGAGCGTCAAGCTCAATTTTAACGAACCTC